AGTTGACAGTCTTAGCAATTTTCTGTCTGGTATGTAAGTGAATGAGAAAGAAAGAGACAGTGAAGATCAGTGTTACCCCCCATGTGGATTCATTCTCTGTCTCTGTTTTGTTTTTAACTTGTTTAGTTCGAAGGTATGTTGTTAGATGTATGTGGGCTCAGCATTTCTACATCTTTTTTAATGTCCCTTATCTCTAACAAAACTTCTGTTTTACCTTAGAGTCCATTTGTCCGATAGCAGTGTAGCTACACCAGCTTTCATTTAGTTATTACGTGATTAATAGGACTCCATTTTCAGTGTTACTGTGTCATTGTGTGTAGTTCCTTTGTACATAATTGGATTTTAATCCTAGTATCATTTTTTAACTGAGGAGTTTAATCTGTTTACATTTATTTTGATTACTCACTCATTTGTGTAGGAAACACTATTTCTGCTGAAATATGAGGTGATTCACAATTTTCCCAATGACGTTTAAAACAGTTTGTTGGCCCATTTGATATGTAAACTTAAAGAGGAAATAGCCAAAAATAATGTTATTTGATTTATTGATTTAATTGCACATATATATTTAAAATGTCATTGTGCAAATAATATATTCAAAAATACTGCTGCTTCCTTTGCCCCATGCAGCAGTTTCATCCTCAGTCTTCCAGGCATCTGGGACACCATTGGAAGCACTGAAAAATGTATGTTTAAAGTCTGTCATTTTCACTTCTGTCTGAATACCTGGATGCGTAACTTTTTGAATCTGTGTATGCTGCTGTCCCTCAAAAGGTTACCCAACGCTCATTCGGTATTTGTGATTCTACGCTTGACCCCTTTCAGGGTTGCTTTTTGTTGTGGTCTTTAAAAAGCCTTGCTTACTTGGTTGTATAGTGTTTCACTATGAAGTCCCTCTCCCAGGAATTTGTATTATGTGTGGGAAATAAGTACAAGATCTGTGTCAAATTATTTTCTCTCCCTTTAAAAAAACAAAACAAAACTGATTTCTTCAAAACACCTAAAGGTAGCATTGTTAGAGATCATTCTGGTTGAAGTTGTAACTAATTAGCAGTGGGTACAACTGCATATAATAGGAAACCCAAACTTAGGTGGCTCCGGCAAAGTACAAGTTTATTTGCCCTCACAAGTGTGGAGCGAGGTAGCTGGCGCCACAGATGATCAGGGACCCAGGCTGCCATCCTGCTGCTCTGCCCTTGAGGTGTGTGTCTCCCATTCGTAGTCACCTTAACGGAAGATGGCGGGCAGACGGGCAGAAAAGAGGCTCCTTCTGGCCCTGTCAGCTTGGTGACCTCAACGCTGGCCACACCTAGTTGCAGGAGCAGCTGACAGACGTGGTCTTTTGTTCCAGGGCAGTGGCCTTAATTATTTCATTTCTTTTTTTTTTTTTTTTTTCCCTTGCCTTTAGTCTGCTTGATCAGGTTTTCTTGATTAGACTTCCTTTATTCTTTTCTTCTCCTCATGCTTCACGTAAGTAATTCCTATCCAGTTTTTTTTGTTTTTTGAGACAGAGTCTCACTCTGTTGCCCAGGCTGGAATGCAGTGGCACCGTCTCGGCTCACTGCAGCGTCTCTCTCCTGGATTCAGGGGATTCTCCTGCCTCCGCCTCTGGAGTAGCTGGGATTACATGCATGCACCACCACGCCCAGCTAATATTGTTTGTATTTTTAGTAGAGACAGGGTTTCACCATGTTGGCCAGACTGGTCTCGGACTGCGGACCTCAAATGATCCCCCTCCCACTTTGGCCTCCCAAAGTGCCGGGTTTGCAGGCATGAGCCACCTTGCCCCAAATGTTAATTAATCTTCCTCTCTCCTTACTGAGCAGTACAGGGACTTACTAGACTCCTTCTACTTCAGTTGTTCCCCGTCCCCACTCCCCCTTTCTTGATGTCCTGGTCTGAGATTTGACTTCCACTTATTTTATATCCTCCAGGATTATTATAGGAGAATCACCTTCTTTACCTATTTACCAGTTTCTTATTGCCAATCTTTAGGTATTTATTTCTTTATCTGTGTAACTTCTTCGGGCTTAAAATTCCTTTTTCTAAAATACATTCTCTATTAGATTGTTATGTGGAGATTCAGAGAAGGTAATCTATATCTCTTAATGAGAAATGTTTTTATTTTACCTCCTTGGATGACAGTTAGTGGATAACAAGTTCTAAGTGGATCATTATTTGCCCTGCGGCCCTTGGAGGATTTCTTCATCATGGCCTGGCCTCTGAAGAGACTGTGCCAGTCTAATTGTTGTTCATCTTCTGGTTTTTCTAGTGGCTTTCACAATTCTTTTTCTCTGTAAAATTCTACAGTTTCACTGTCATGTGTCTTGTTGTGATTTATTCATATTTATCCTACTTGGGATTCATTTTTCTACTTCAGTCTGTGGATCTGTGTCCCATGAATTCTGGGACTTTTTTAACTGTTATCTGTTCAAACCTTGTCTCTCACTTTTTTCCTCCAGTTTTTCCCGGTAGAACTAATGTTCAGTGTACTTTTAACCTTCATATCCCGCATGTTCAGTATGTACTCTTTCATATTTTTGCATCTGTTGGTAATCTCAGCTCTGTCTTTCGTTTTTCTACTGTGTCTGATGGGATATTTAGTCTATCTTTTGGATTTCTAATTTTATTGACTCTTAGATTTTATTTCCGGAAGTTGTATTTGACTAGCAAGTTAACCTGTCCTTTTTGTTGTTGTTATTGTTGTTGTTGTTGTTTTGTTTTGTTTTGTTTTTGCGATGGAATTTCATTCTTGTTGCCCAGGCTGGAGTGCAATGGCGCAATCTTGACTCACTGCAACCTCCGCCTCCTGGGTTCAAGTGATTCTCCTGCTTTAGCCTTCTGAGTAGCTGGCATTACAGGCGTGCGCCACCATGCCTAGCTAATTTTTTTGTATTATCAGTGGAGATGAGGTTTCACCATGTTGGTCAGGCTGGTCTTGAACTCCGACCTCAGGTGATCTGCCCACCTCGGCCTCCCAAAGTGCTGGGATTACAGGCGTGAGCCACTGCGCCCAACCCAGCCTGTCGTTTTCTTAGTAGCTTTTTAACCTTTCCTTGTATTTATGCTCTTGGTCCTCAGCACTTTCTATGTCCAGCATCTCGCGTTCTTGGGCGGCAGCCCTTCTGCATGTCTTGTGTGTTGACTGTCACTCATGGTGGGTTGTGGTTTTTGATTGGGAAAGTTGTTTTCTCTCTCTTGAGTCCTCTCAGGTCTTGATTGTGGAGATGTCTTTCTGGTTGGTTTTACCTGATTCTGCAGCGTACCCTGTAAGATTTTAGGTTCCAGGATTCCTGTATCAGGTGCCCGTTATGACCTGTTCCTGCTAGCTTGCATGGGGCGCAGGTCTGAGACTTCCATTTCTCACTGGAAGCTTTGTTCCTTTCCTACTCCAAGTGCTGGACAGCAATAGCATCCCTGCATCACATCATGCTGCCTCCTGATAGCTTTTGAGCCGTGGTGAGGGGTTTGGATGTACTTGTTCTTAATCATTTGTTTTCTGTGTATTACAGTTTTTGTAGAATGGTCTCAGTGTTTACAGCACCTTTAGTACAGGGGTGGTCTACCTAGCTGTTTGTTTGTATGTTTTTTAAAATCTTTTTGTGACTGCCAATTCCTGACTGTGGAATCAGGGAGGACTTAGGAAACTTAAGGAAACCCTGAGAAGTAGGAACCTAAGTAACATGATAAAATCAGAATCACAGTTGAGGAAGTGAGTGGCACTGGCTTTGAAAGAGAAACCCTTGAAGCCTTAGGGAAGAAGGAAGAAAATATTTGGAGAGTACCTCTTATGAGCCAGGCACTTCCATAATAGCAGTTTCCCTGAGGGGTAGGCTCTCCCCCTACTTTAATGATGAAGAAACTGAGAATCCCAGAGGTCAGTGATGTCCCTAAGCTTCTGAAGTCATCAGTAGTCGTAATACAGAGGGGGCCTGTCTGACAGACTCTACAGCCCCTGTTGTTTTCACTGAGTCTTCTTGCCTTTTTTATGAGTTAGTTAGCTTTCATGAATTTACCTCACGTTGTCATTCTTTCCTTTTCCTGGTTTCCCAGCATCTGTGTTTTCTCAAGGATGACCAATGCTGTTAAAAGGTATCGATGAGAATAGTGTTTCTCCATCTTTTCTGGCTACAGTGCGTTTTATCGAGCAACCCAGTACATGGACCAGTACAGATACATAGTCCCATCACTCACCCTGTGCCATGGTTCTGATGTTTTCTTTTCCATTCTATTTTGTTTTACTGTTTCCTCTGGTTAAAATAGGCTGACTGTGACCAACTAACTTGGTCTCACAGCCCTTTAACAGTTTGCAACCCATAATTTGAGCCCATGATTTTGAAGCATGGCTCATGGCTAGAATATAGATCTGCAGAGGGCTTAACAGAAGTATCCTCAGGAGCCCATTCTCCTGTCCCAGCCGGGCTCATATCCGGCTCCAGTGTAGCTGCCACCCACATTCTCCCCACTCCCCAGGAGTATGGGGATTCCTCTTCAACAGCATTCCAGCGTTAACTTTAGACATTGGGAACATATCCCACTTACTCTTTAGTGACTTCCTATAGATACCATTTCTTTTTAAGCCACTTAACTATTCATAACTCATTCTGCCTTTTCTTGCCTTTGATCTTATTTTATATTTTCTTTCTGTTTGGCTTATTCCAGATTTTTCTGAGATACTTTATTTGGCAGCTTCTTTCTTAAGCGAGTTTTAAAACCAAAGCATTTAAGATTTGCCACTCATTCATCTTGGAATTCTAGCTTATTTTTCTTTTTTTATTTTAGTAGTACGGGTAGTTTATTAAAAATAAAAATAATGGAAAAATATCTTATTTTTAATGTACCATGCTCTAATACTACTTCTTAAAAACAAGAAATCAAAGACCAGTATGCAAATAGGGTAGGATGACAACACTTTGTTGTTGTGCCTGCCACCAAGGTAATATAATAACATGTAACATGAATGTGTAATTGACGTGTACCTCTCTTTATCTCTTCCCTAGCCCTCCAAGCCACAAAATTGTGGTGAATGGAAAAGAATGTATAAATTTTGCCTCATTTAATTTTCTTGGATTGTTGGATAACCCTAGGGTTAAGGTGAGTAGCACATAATGCTGAAGTGGACAGATAACATTACTGATTTAAGAAACTGGACGTAAAAGACAAATGCAGGCTGGGCGCGGTGGATCACTTGAGGTCAGGAGTTTAAGACCAGCCTGGCCAACATGGTGAAACCCCATCTGTACCAAAAAATGCAAAAATTAGTCAGGCATGGTGGCACATGCCTGTGGTAGTCCCAGCTACTCGGGAGGCTGGGGTGGGAGAATTTCTTGAACCCAGGAGGTGGCGGTTGCAGTGAGCCGAGATGGTGCCACTGCACTGTCTCCAAAAAAAAAAAAAAGACAGAGTATCGGAAAGGGCTATGCAAGTTTTTCCCATTGCTTTTTGTCTGACAAGAGTTGTGATCTGGACCTAGACAGAGAGGGGCAAGAGTGTCTTATGTGGCTCAGTGTTGGGCAACAACCACAGAACTGAACAGGCCGGACCTGGAGAATAGCTGGAGAAGGGCCTAGGAAATTGCTCTCTCTCCTATTGGGATTGTGGGCTAACAGGCATTTTCCAGGAGAGACTTGGCCCACAAATGCAGAAAAGTTAACCAGGTTTTGAGAATCAGGCTAGTATAACTTTTCCATGTTTTAAGTTATATCCTCAGTCTTTACATCTGTCTTTATATTCTGTTCGAGTCGCTGTAGTTCTAAGAAAGGAAGAAAAGTGGAGGAGGGTGGAAGGAGCTCTGTGGGTTAAAAAATAGGAAATGTTCGTTTTGAACTCTTCAAGATAAATTATTAAAGTATAATTATTTTACTTCAATAAAGGCAGCAGCTTTAGCATCTCTAAAGAAGTATGGCGTGGGGACTTGTGGACCCAGAGGATTTTATGGCACATTTGGTAAGTTTTTGTTGTGTTCTCTTTCAGACTACTACTTTCAATAGTTAAGATTCGATTTTAGGCCAGGCACGGTGGTTCACACCTGTAATCCCAGCACTTTGGAGAGGCTGAGGTGGGAGGATTGTTTGAGCCCAGGAATTTGAGACCAGCATGGGCAATATAGGGAGACCCTGTCTCTAGAAAAAATAATAAAATTAGCCGGGCATGGTGGGCTCATCCTCGTGTGCATGTGTGGAGATTGCAGTATGGGGAAACGAGGGCAGAGCAGCAGGACTCTCTATGCAGGGGAGATGGCCTCATACTTCTGCCCACAGTCCATTGATGAGAGCAGAACCCCTGCCCTGACTAGCCATGCAGGGGGCTGAGAAACAGCTCTAGGAAGAAAGTGGAGAGCAGATTGCCTGGGGTGGAGGGAGGGGGGATAAAGTGTAGTTTTTTTTCTTTCTAGAATGAAGATGAAGGATCATTGATTTCCTTGTGTATGGATAAGCCAGAAACAGGCCAACTAAATATTTGATGAGTGTATGATTTCAAATACAGTGAATTCCCTGGGAGTCGTCAAAAAAGACTCTGGCATTTTATGGCTGTTTTTATTAAGTGTATATTCTTTGCTCCTGAAAATGTTATTAAATAATTGTTCAGGCCAGGCATGGTGGCTCATGCCTGTAATCCCAGCACTTTGGAAGACTTAGGCGGGCGGATCACCTGAGGTCAGGAGTTCAAAACCCCCCTGGCTAACATGGTGAAACCTCGTCTCTACTAAAAATACAAAAATTAGCTGGGCATGGTGGTGGGTACCTGTAATCCCAGCTACTTGGGAGGCTGAGGTGGGAGAATCGCTTCAACCTGGGAGGCAGAGGTTGCAGTGAGCCGAGATCATGCCAGTGCACTCTAGCCTGGGCAACAGAGCGAGACTCTGTCTCTAAATAAGTAAATAATAAAATTGTTCAGATGAATTTTTTGCTGGAAATAACATTTTGGCTTATAAAAAATTGTCACAGTGTGGGGAAAGCAGACCAAGGGAAATATCTTCCATCTTCTATTCTTATTTCCATTTCTGGATCTTTTTGTAGTTTTTTACTTTAACAGTTAAGTTTTTTACTTTTGTGATTTTTTTTACATAAGGGAGCACCTTACATTATCCCTAAGCTAGTTTGGTGATTACATTATTTGTCTTGGAAACAGATGAGGAGAATTAGTGTCCAGGAATCCTACAGCTGAAAGTGATCTTTAAAATCTTTAGTTCTAACCCTAAAATTAGAAACTGGCCAGATTTAGTGGCTCACGCCTGTAATCCTAACACTTTGGGAGGCCGAGAAGGGAGGATTGCTTGAGCCTAGACATTTGAGACTAGCCTGGGCAACGTAGCGAGACCCTGTGTTTACAAAAAATAAAAATAAACTGGGCACTAGTGTGCACCTGTAGTCCGAGCTACACGGGAGGCTGAGGCAGGAGGATCCTTTGATCCCAGGAGGTTGAGGCTGTGATGAGCTGTGTTCATACCACTGCAGTTCAGCCTGGATGACAGAGCGAGACCATCTCAAAAATAATAATAATAATAATATAAACCAAGTATCCTGACTCCATTCTTGATGGCAAGTTCGAAGAAATGAGCTTGTATCAGAGCCTCCCACTTTCCTCCAGTCTAATGCAAACAGGGGTTGTTTGGTTTTTAATTGGTAGGGAATTATTTTCTTGGCAGGTATTAGAAAACTAGAAAAGTCACATTTTCTGGGGTTGTCAGTTGTAATCTGATGAAGGCTTTCTGTGACTGCTTGCTGAGGTAAAGGAATTGTTTCTTAAAAGCCTCTCTTGTGGATTTTATTGGCTTGTGTAACCTTGGCCCCGCTTGAGTCTTGATCTGGACAAATGAGAGATTTATTGACAAGTCCAATTGTGAAAGTTTCAAATCTTCAAGGCAAGTTTTCTGAAAGCTGTGAAATATATTGTTAAAATATCCTAGTCACCTTTCCCTTTGAATCACCTGCATAATAGCATGCTAGATGTTTCCAAACATGGGATCTTTAGATTAATGGTTTTTTAATTAATTTTCTTGATTGGGTAATTCAATACATGATAGAAACTTCAAAAAGTGTACAAAGATAGACATGAGTAATCTCCTAACCTCAGGTCCTATTTTCCTCACTGCCATCCTACCACCTAAAGACAAGCTACTGTCAGTAGTTTCTTGTTAATTCTTCCAGAGACCTTTTATCAGCATATGTGAACCACTTCCACGTATTTCTTTTTTTCCTCCATTGTTAGAAAAATGCTAGCATACCGTACACATTTTTCTGTACCTTGCTGTTGAAGTGAGTGTGTTTTAAATTTAAACTGGGTTTGATCCTTCAGATGTCTAACTATGCAGTCAGAGGCAGTGAACGCACAAGCATAGATCAGATCCTCTGTAAGCCACTTTATTGGTCACTTTAGGGTAGGAATCATCCTTATCCTAAAGCTATAGGTGCAGGTTCAGACAGACTGTGGCTTCTGGACAAAGGTTGCAAGATAATTTGCAGTGGGACTGTTTTCAAACAAGACACCAAATCTACAACTTTAATGTGTAATGTTTTCTGAGTGCATTGTCCTTCAGATAAACATAGTTTTATTCATTCTTAACAGTTGCCCATGTTTACTTGTCATTGTTTTTCCTTTCTTTAAATATATGTATTGCCCATATTTGTACTTTTTAAATTTTCTGACAGGATTTTTTTCTGTGTCTTTTCTTATTCTGGAAGTAATAACTTGAATTATTACAGTTGTATTAAAATACTTTGAAATTTTAGCATTAGTTACAATTGGAGAAGCTACATGAAGTCATCTAAGGCTAAATTGTATGTCTAAAATACCGTATACATTTAAATTATTCTAAATATGTCGGGGATGTTTGCCTTTTGCACCGAGCAATAACGCAGACATGAAGCCCTGTTTCTCTCGTTTACAATTGCTTATGTATTCTTGAAGAGTTTAATTTGAAGTGTAGGATAGCTTTCCCTGGACTCCCACATGATTGCTTTTAATATTGTCTTTCCCGCCCTCCAACGTATCGCAACTAGTTTCAAAGCACACCCCTTGTAGCTTTCTTCCCAACTCATGAAATAGTGAATGTGAATCACTTTTAAGAGTCAATTTCCTTATTAAACATTCTCTCTTGTTTACTATTTCACGGTAACATATCTGTTAAATGATTAATTCAGAAAAAGTAATGGAGCAATGACTGGATTAAGATTCATCTAAGTTTTTTAAGGCTAAACATTCCCCTACCTCCTCAAGGCCAGGCGGGTAGAACTCAGCAAGTTATTAGAACAGTTGCCTTAGGACCATGTGAACTAGATTTCTTCCCACGTACTGATGTGTATTTTAGAACTCAGCAAGTGGTTTCATTGAGTCATGGAACCTTCCTTTCCTCTAAGGCCAGTGGGATCCCATTGTACTTAGGATAGTATCTGTTGGTAAACTTTTTGTTTGTTTCTTTCTTTGTTTTTAGTACATTTAGGTCTTATTCACATGTGATTTATCCCTGGTTCCCTGGGGTCTGTTTTGCATATGTAATGATTCATTGTCTTAAACTAGGTCAAAAAACAATTGGCTGGCAAGGTTTCATTATGAGAGATAATAGCATTTAATTGTGTTCTGGAGCCAGTCTAGAGTAAAAGTTGTTCATTTCAGTAGTTTATAAAAATATTTGCCTTCTTTGTTTTAGAACAGTCAACTGATCCATGACCACCTTTTTCAGTAGGAAGAACATTTGTGTTATGCACGTGCCTAATTGAAGAGACAACCTGAACAGGCTAAGTGTGAGCAACAAGGCTGTTTATTCACCCGCGTGCGAGCGAGCTGAGTCCGAAAAGGGAGTCAGCAGAGGGTGGTGAGATTGGAGATGGTTTTATAGATTAGGGGTAGGCAGTGGAAAGTTACAGTTAGGGGCCAGTTTTTACGGGTAGGGGAAGAATGTCACAAGGTACGTTATCACGAGATTGATTGATCACATAGGGTAGAGCCTGTTACAATGGTAGAATGCCACAAGGTTGGCTAATCAGCTAAGACAGGTACAAGCCGTTTTTCTTCTTTCGTGGTTTTCCTGTTGTCCCAGACTTTCTGGCTGCAGGAGACCTTCTGGATGTATATGTGTGGGTCACAGGGGTCACGATGACTTGACCATGGCACAGCCTGCTCTCAGGGGACCTTACAATTTGGTCATAAAATTCCTAGATCTGCCACCACTTCTTACCAGTCGTGGGAATCATGGTTTTCTCAGGTGTGAGCGGGAACAATCATTGCTTGCATGGCTTTAGAACACTTTGCTACGGATCACATAGGGTACTGCATGTGAAAACATGAAAGACATTCGGCCCTGTGTGTTCCAGTGACTACCTAAGGGCTATCATTTATACTCTTAAGAAAAATTGTGCATGTCTCTAGGGATTTGTGTGTGCGTGTGTGTGTGTGTGTGTGTTGTTGTTGTTGTTGAGACGGAGTTTCACTCTTGTTGCCTAGGCTGGAGTGCAGTGGCGTGATCTTGGCTCACCGCAACCTCCGTCCCCTAGGTTCAGGCGATTCTCCTGCCTCAGCCTCCTGGGTAGCTGGGATTACAGGCATGCACCACCATGCCCAACTAATTTTTTTTTTTTTTTTTTAAGTAGAGATGGGGTTTCTGCATGTTGGTCAGGCTGGTCTCAAACTCCTGACCTCAGGTGATCCGCCTGCCTCGGCCTCCCAAAGTGCTGGGATTACAGGTGTGAGCCGCCACACCTGGCCTCTAGGGATTTTTTTTTAAAGGACAGTATGTATGCAAAAATATGAAGGCCTTAAGAGAAAATGTAGTTTCTTTCTAAACTGTCCTAAAGTCAGCTATTTTATGGTATTTTCTCTGGAAAAGAACCAGGAAGGTCATAATCTCTCCTCCTTGTAAGTGAGAAGCTGAACCAAGTGGCTCTTATTAGAAGATAGTCTCAACAATTCAGAATTCAGATAACTTAATTAGAAGATTGCCTAAAGTGTGACCAGGTTTTTACTTTTAAAATGAAACCTTTTCTTTTATTCTACAATATTAATGTAATTAAACAAACTCTTCAATAGCGCATTGCTTGTTCCATGCCGGGCGGTGTTCTGAGTGTTTTATCAGCATTAACTCATGTACTCCTCCTGCTAACCCTTGAGGAAGGTAGGACTATCCCCCCTATTCGACAGAGGAAGGCACCGAGGCTGCCCAGGGCTGACCCCCCAGACCTAACTACAGTCTGAGCTCTGTGATGACGGAGGTAATGAGGCCTTCTGTCCCTGAGGTTCTGGTGAGGGAGCCAGACACCAGATCAGCAAGTGCAGGAAAGTGCTGAGGGCTGTGAGGTGTGCGGAGGCATTCTAGGACACCTTCCTCCATGGTCACTTCTCTGCCGTGTTTAGTGCTAACAGTGAATTGTAGAATATAGTACTTTTGTTTTATTCCATGCAAGTCGACAGCTCCAGTTAGTGAAATGGATCATACATACAGAAGATATGGACATCAGAAATTGAAGAAAAGTGAGCGCCCTTGTAGTTTTCCTGCTTGCTGCCTTCCGCTCCCTTGGGTTGAGAGTTTCTTCGTTGCACAAAGGAGCATCAAGAGAAGCAAGTTCTGCAGTTACCCATATTTACCTGTCACAAAACCTGCTTTGCAAGGCTGTCATCAGCTAAAACCCAGTGTCTTTTGATAGAAGGAAAAGACTAGTCTTTTTGAACTTTTGGGGCTATGCTTGAACCAATAAGTCATTGATTTATGGTTGAGAGATTCTTCTTCCCACGTTATGGCAACTGTATATAAACAGTTACGAGTATACCTAATGACAGGAAGATTTGTAACATGCTGATTTTCATCAACTGGGTAACTCACTCTAAAGTCCTGAAACAGGGTCGTACTCAGTTTTACAGTCTCATCATTCATCACTGAAAAGAGTCATTTAGAGCTAAGAAGTCTACAGAGTGATTTAAAATCCCTTTTGTGGTTAGCAAAAATAGTTTGTATACATAGCATGTTTTTCTTTTTGAAATGGAGATACCAAATGAAAGCAAACCATTGTGGCCCGGGTTGTCCTTCTGGCTGAACTGTGAAGGTTTGTGGCAGAAATTTTCAATTAGAAGCACCATTATAATTTGAAGGAGGCCTCCAACCTGGGAACATGAGAGGTGGCAAAGTGGTGGCACTCAGAGAACAGTAATGAGGATGAGAAGGAAGACATACCCCAGAGTAACCCATGCTCAGCTCCTTGGCTGTGTTCCTCTTTCTTGCTAGATTCTACCTGAAACCTTTTCTGATAGCGTCTCTCCTAGAGGGTGGCTGGCAGACAAAAGGGATCACGACCTTGGATTTCGTGTGATCATCATGTCAGAGATCTTACACTCGAAGATCACCTGGGATATGTTCTTCTAAACTCTGTGTGTTGTAAAGTCCCACATTTGTTTAATATTGGTATAATGAAAAGTGTCCATTTTATAAAATAACGATAACCAATTGGTAATGGAAATCAAATGATATTGACTGTGTTAGCGTACAAATAGGAAGAAGCATGCCTCATATTTTATCACTATTTGATAGGAGTGAAATTAATAGTTCATTTAACAGTTCTGTAACATTCTTTAGGAAGTCTGTAAATACGCTGCCTCCTGCCAGGCCGTCAGCCCTCTCTGCTGCCCCTAGCTCAGGAGTGCCCAGACCGCCTGCCGTTGCCCGTGCTTGGGTTCTCATCAGTAGACACACCACGGCTCCCTCATCCTGGGTCTCAAAATCCAACTCTGTGGGCTCTGATTTCCCTCCTTTCTCGCATAGCGCCCTAAGACTGGAGGGGCCTGGCTTCTCTGAGCCCTCCCCACACAGGGCCTGTGGTGAAACTCTGTTATCTAGTCCTCCAGGCTTGGGTCCTGCCATAGTTAAAAGAGCTAAAGGAATTTTTTTTAAAAATCCCTTTCCCTCCTTGATAATACCTCATTTTAAGACTGCTTTAAACTTTTTAAGATTCTAAAGTGGCCAGTGGCCTGTTTATTCTAAGCATCACTGGTCCTCCGTCCGAGGGCATGAAGCCTCATGGTTCAGTCTGAGAGCTAAAAGGCTGTAAGGAGGACCAGGCGCGGTGGCTCTTGCCTGTAATCCCAGCACTTTGGGAGGCGGAGGCGGGCAGATCATGAGGTCAGGAGATCAAGACCATCCTGGCTAACACAGTGAAACCCTGTCTCTACTAAAAATAGAAAAAATTAGCCGGGCGTGGTGGTGAGCGCCTGTAGTGCCAGCTACTCAGGAGGCTGAGGCAGGAGAATGGTGTGAACCCGGGAAGCAGAGCTTGCAGTGAGCCGAGATTGTGCCACTGCACTCCAGCCTGGGTGACAGAGCGAGACTCCGTCTCAAAAGAATAAAAAAAATAAAAAAGGCTGTAAGGAGCCATGATTTCAGAGGAAAATAATAATCAATCTAATAATTATAATTTATCCTCATTGTTATGTCAACATCCTTCTTATGGTGCATCTATAAAAGTACTATATTTCCTTTTGTACCATAAATTTGAATTATTATTCATTACACTTATAAGAAATTCAGACAGAATCCCAGCCCCAAAAAGTGATGAGAGGTGCCACTACTAAGTGCTGACACAGATTGTTAGAGGAATGGTCACTGGAGTTCTAGTAACTGTCACCTTCTTGATGCAAAGTATACAGAGTTCTTTTTGCTAAAATGTGAATAGACATTAATAAGTTAACATCAGACATTGGTGAGACCTCAGTGGTTTTGGTCAAGGGCAGTTAATGCAGGGAAACTTGGTAGGCCTTGAAGTCTTACAGTAGAGTGATATCAAAGCATAACCCGAAGTTGGAACTGCCCCAGTAACACATTTTGCAGATAGATGAGTAGCTGATTTAGTTCATGTATTTTAGAAGTTGTATGGGCCTGGAATTATTTTAATAGATCTTATATAATCTATCATTTAAAAACAATTCCATTTTGGCCATAAGGTGAAAGTACTGATAATTATACTGTTTGTGTTCTTTTATTTATTCTTTAGTAGAGAAAAAGAATTATAAGACAGTTTAACCATTTATTTTTTTTAACTGAAATAGATGTTCATTTGGATTTGGAAGACCGCCTGGCAAAATTTATGAAGACAGAAGAAGCCATTATATACTCGTATGGATTTGCCACCATAGCCAGTGCTATTCCTGCTTACTCTAAGAGGGGGGACATTGTTTTTGTGTAAGTAACCTTCACCTAGTTTTCTAATAGCAATTCCTTTGAGATAATACTGAGATAAATTCCTTAGAGAAATACTTCATTAGAAGTTATCTGCATAAAATAATACTGCTTTTTATTGTTTTTCAAGAAAGTCACCTCACCAAAGGTTTCAAAATTTGTGAAACCTTCACTTAAAAGATGCTTAACAGTGTCTGTAGTCATTTATCTGCCATGATAATTCTTTATTGATGTCCGGATGAGGACAGCTATCTGCCTTCTTTGTGCAGCTCTGTGGCTGTGTGTTATCCTAATCCGTGGTCACCACCTCACGTTGTCACTCAGACTGCCCGGCAAAGTCTCTCCATGTCTCATGACCCGTTCACCCCGTCTCCTGGCCTCAGCTGATCTTGCTTCCTACCTTATTAAGGATAGAGGAGCCATGACTTGGACACTTTCTTGACTACCCACAAGTAGATCTTCACACTTGCTGCCTGTCCTGAATGCATGCTATGGAGATTTATTGTGAAGGGCAGAGGGCAGCCAAGCAAGGGCTGGCAGGCTCCAGGCAGCTGATTAAACCAGTCAGAAGCATCTGTCGCCCCAGGCCAAGCCCCTGTCGTCCTTTGAGTGGACTAAAATTTGGGTCTCAAATTTACTTTTATTTTCTCTTTTCCTTTTTTTCTTTTTTCTTTTTTTTTTTTTTTTTCTCTGGGGCTGGAGTGCAGAGGCGCAATCTCAGCTCACTGCAACCTCCGCTTCCTAACTTTAAGCAATTCTCCAGCCTCAGTCTCCCAAGTAGCTGGGATTACAGGTGCCCGCCACCACTCCCAGCTAATTTTATGTATTATCCGTAGAGATGGGGTTTTACCATGTTGGCCAGGCTGGTCTCGAACTCCTGACCTCAGGTGATCCACCCGCCTCGGCTTCCCAAAGTGCTAGGATTACAGGTGTGAGCCACCATTCGTGGCCTTTTTTTTTTTCTTTCTTTCTTTTAATTTTTTTATTTTGAGACGGTCTTTCACTCTTGTCACCCAGGCTGAAGTATAATGAAGTGATCTCAGCTCACTGCAAGCTCCACTTACTGGGTTCAAGCAATTCTCCTACCTCAGCCTCCCAAGTAGCTGGGATTACAGGTGCCTGCCACCATGCTTTGCTAATTTTTTGTATTTTTAGTAGAGATGGGGTTTCACCATGTTGGCTAGGCTGGTCTTGAACTCCTGACCTCAGGTGATTTGCCTGCCTCAGCCTCCCAAAGTGCTGGGATTACAGGCTTGAGCCACTGCGCCTGGCCTCCTCTTTTCCTTTTTAATACCATAGCCAGAGTAATCTTTTTAAAATGTAAATGCTATTATGTCACTTTTTATTTAATACAATTTAAAGCTTCTGTTGTTGCTAAAATGAAGACCCAAGTCCTTTGTATGATCTTGTGAGCTCTGCACCACTTTTTCAGGCTTATTTTGTACCATTTTCCTGAGGTGTTTAAGCTGTAGCCTTGCCAGCCCTGTACGCTAGTGTCCTCTCACCTCGGGACCCACACACATGCTTGTTCTGACTAGAACACTGTTCCTCCTCCCCTATCCTACTTAACCTTCTCATCCTACACATACTTCTGCAGGGAAGCCGTCCCACACCTCTCAGAGCAGGTCAAGACCCCTGCTGCATGTGGACACAATCTTACAACCAGAGAGAATTTATTGTTCTTGTTTATCCATGCTCACACAAGCACTCAAACTGCCTCTCAAGGTCACCCTGCTTCTCAAGCCTCCCTCCCACACACAGACACACACACACACTCACACACACTCTGCTCTGCTCATTTGCTTCATACTTAACTATACTTTTATTTTGTAGAACTTGTAATAGTTTATAATTTTGTATCTGTGTGGTTATTTGCTTCTGTTTCTTGCTGGGAGCCCATTACTTAGAATAGTATTTATCATTTAGTAATGGTCAATAAACACTAGTTCAGTAAATGAATGAAAGGAAGCTGGAGCTCAGAATAGGGGCCAGATAACTGTATGGTAGAGCCTGGCCTCCCTCAAGCCCCGCACTGGCCTCTTACGTACAACTCACCATTGGAACTCTTGCTTGTGCAGCGACAGAACTTTCTATCACAATTACTACAGAGCTGACTCTACCTGGGGCTTCTGCAGTACATGTGACCCATTCCTGACTATAGTTCTACAACAGTCTAGGAGCACTACAGCAAATGTCCTGAGTCTAAGTACTATACTAATGTGAGCATAAAAATGAATATTTCTATTAATTTTTGGCACATAGTTTAAAAAATAATGTGGAAGACTCATCACTAACTGGAGCGCCATTGACTTAAACAGTGTTTCTGGGTTTTTAGTAAAAGCAGAGTTATAGACAGCTGCAGTGTCATTCAGTGTCACTTTATACACAAGCACCCCACTATAAATTCTTTTTAAGTCCAGAAAAAGTTGATGGTTGCTGGTGAACTCATATGCTTCCTTTGATAAATACATTCTTTTTTTTTTTTTTTTTTTAACTGCTAGGAAACAGGGTAAATTCTCTTCCATGTGTTATGCCTAGTGTCTTAAAACTTCTGATTCCAGTGAGTTGCTAACCTGTTTATTCTGCTACATAATTTTAAATATTCTACCTGAAATGTGTTCGAATGTATGAGTGCTAGAGGTAAACATGGTGTTTGGTAAATTTGTTTTGATAAATTTGTCAGGCATAGACACTGTCTGATGCTTCATTTCCTTCCTTTCAGTAAACAGTGTTAATGCTTTGCCAATAGTGGGTCTCAGCACAGTGGTCATTCATGGACTTAAGTCTGTCCTATCACTCCTCTAAGTCTGTGTTCATGCTGCTTCACAGATCTTTTTAAAATTAAACTTTTTACATTCAGATAATTGTAGATTCAAAAGCACTTGTAAGAAATAATACAGAAATCCTAAGTGTCTTCCAGTGGGGACCTCTTGCAGAATGAACAGTTTCACAGCCAGGATATTGACTGTGTCATTGTCAAGATGCAGAACATTTCTGTCACCACAGGGATCCTTCATGTTGCCACACCCCCATTCCTCCCACCTGCCCACTCCTTAACCCCTGGCAACCACTGATCTGTTCTGTTTGTTAGTTTTGTCTTTTTAGGAATGTTATACAAATGGAATCATTCAGTAGGCAACGCTTTGGGGTTGGCTTTTTTCATTTGGCGTAATTCTCTGATGGTTCGTCCAAATTGTTGCTTGTATCCAGAGTTGGTTCCTTTTGATTGATGAGTATTATTCCATGGCATGAAGGCACCACCATTATTGAAGTTACCTATTAAAGACATCTGAGTTGTTGCCAGCTTTGTGCTATTATAAAAAAAAAAAAAAAAAAGCTGCTCTAAACATTCATGAAAAAAAAAAAAAAAAAAAGCTGCTCTAAACATTCATGTACATTCATGCTGTGTGAGCATAAGTTTTTATTTCTGTGGAATACATGCCAAGAAATGCAGTTGCTATGTTTATAGTATTGCACAGTTTTTAAAGGAACTGCCAAACTGTTTTCCAAAGCGTCTATACCATTTTATGTTCCCATCAGCAATATATGAATGATCAAGGTTCTCCACGTCTTCAGAGGCATTTGATGTTGTCACTACTTTTTTAGTCAGTCTGATAGGTGTGGAGAGAAATTTATATTTTTCTGATGGCTAATGATGTTGAACATCCATTCATGTGCATATTTGCCATCTCTTCAGTGAAATGTCTTTTCATGCCTTTTGTCCATTTTCTAGTTGTATGATTTGTTTTTATACTGAGTTTTGAGAGTTCTTTATACATTCTAGATCATAATTCTTTATCAGATATGTGGTTTGCAAATACAAATTTTGATGTCCACATATTCATTGATAACATATAGAGATGAAATGGATTTTTTGTGTGCTGATCTTATATCCTGCAACCTTGCCAAACTCACTTATTTAGCTCTAGGAACTGTTTTTCTAGATTGCTTAGGATTTTCCATGTAGACAGTCATCATGTCGTTTGTAAATAGTTTTATTTATTTTCTGATCTACTTACTTTTTATTCCCTTTTATTGCCTTATTGCAGAGCCAAGAACTTCCAGGACTGTGGTAAGAGTAGTAAGAGAAGACATTCTTACCCTGTTCCTGATATTAGAAATCATTTACTCTTTCACCAATAAGTTTCATGTTAGATGCAGATTTCTTACAATGCACTTTATTACATCCACTTTCCTGCACCTCATCCTTTTTTTCTGAGCATTTTCATTGTAAATCAATGTTGAATTTGGTTGGTCAGCTACTTTTTCTGTGTTGGTTGGTATGATCATGTGATTTTTCTTTTTTAGTCTGTTAATGTGGTAGGTAACATTGATTTATTTTCAAATATTGAACCAGCTTTGCATACCTGGAATAAACACTACTTGGTTATGGGGAATAATTTTTTTTATAAAAAGCTAAATTCTATTTGCCAGTCTTTTGTTAAGGATTTTGAATCTGTGTTCATGAGGGAGACTGTCCTATAATACACTTTTTTTGATACTTACTTTGGTTTTGGTCGCAGAATAACACTTCATAGAATCAACTGGGAAGTGCTCTGTCTTCTATTTTGTGGAGCTATTTGTATAGAATTATTTTTAATTATTTAATTGTTTGGTAGAATTCTCCCATGAAACCATGTGGGCCTGGAGATTTCTTTTTTGCAAGTATCTTAAATCTGAATTCAGTTTCCTTAGTAGTTATCAGGCTGTTCAAATTATCTGTCATGTTGAGTGAATTGAGGTAGTTTGTGCTTTTCAAGGAATTGGTCCATTTCCTATAAGTTGTCAGATGTATATGTGTGGTGCTGTTCATGGTATCCCCTTATTATTCTGATGTCTGCAGAGTCTATGGTTATATACCTTGTTTCACTCCTGGTATTGGTAATTTGTGCCTTTTCTCCTTTTTTTCTTTGTCGGTCTTGTTAGAGGTGTGTCCATTTTATTGATCTTTTGAAAGAATCAGCTGTTTGTTTCATTGATTTTTCTCTTGTATTTTTCTTGTCAGTTTCATTGATTGAATTCTCCTGTTATTTCCTGCCTTCTGTTCACTTTTGATTTATTTTGTTCTTTTTCTTTATTTTGAGGTAGGAGCTTAAATTATTAATTTGAAACTTTTTCTCTTTTCTTGAATGTTCATTTAGTGCTATGAATTGCCCTCTCAATGCTGCTTTAGTTGTGTCTCACAAATTTTGATGTGTTGTGTTTTCATTTGTATTTAGTTCATTTTCGTTTTAAGAAATAGGGTGTCACTGTTTTGCCCTGGTTGGCTGTGAACTCCTGGGCTCAATGGATACTTTTGCTTCAGCCTCCTGGGTAGTTGGCACTACAAGAACACACCACTGTGCCCAGCTTAGACTTTCCCTTTGACCTAAGGATTATTTAGAAGTGTATTTTCTACTTTTCAGGTGTTTGGGGACTTTAAATTTGTTGTAGTTTGGTTTATGGCTAATACTGTAGTCTATTTTGGAATATGTTACATGGGCACTTAAAAATGTGTATTCTGCTATTTGGTGGAGTGTTCTATAAATGTCAAGTCTTTTTGGTTGATGGTGTTTCTGGGTTCTCTCTTGGTGATTTTCTGTATAGTTCTTCTATCAGTTGTTGAGAAGGATAATGAAGTTTTCAACTGTAATTGTGGGTTTGTCTGTTTCTTCTTTCAGTTTTATTAGCTGTTGCATCTTAAATTTTTTTTTTTTTTGAGACGGGGTCTCGCTCTGTCGCCTAGGCTGGAGTGCAGTGGCCGAATCTCAGCTCACTGCAAGCTCCGCCTTCCGGGTTTACGCCATTCTCCTGCCTTAGCCTCCTGAGTAGCTGGGACTACAGGCGCCTGCCACCTCGCCCAGCTAGTTTTTTGTATTTTTTTAGTAGAGACAGGGTTTTACCGTGTTAGCCAGGATGGTCTCGATCTCCTGACCTCGTGATCCGCCCGTCTCGGCCTCCCAAAGTGCTGGGATTACAGGCTTGAGCCACCGCGCCCGGCCGCATCTTAAATTTTTTAGCTTTTTTGTTTAGTGCATATTTAGGATTGCTAAGTTTTCTTGATGAATTGACCCTTTTGGCATTTCATAATGTTCTTCTCTGTCTCTGATAATTTTCTGCTTTTTGTGTATGTGCTGCCAAAGCAAACACTCTGATAATTTTCTTTGTTCCAAGGTTTACTTTGTCAGATGCCCTTTTTATTTTGTATATTATACAGTTGTGTGTATATATCTGTATTTTTTACTACCTATATTGTTATATTTGAAGTGAGTTTCTTACAGACAGCATATAGTTGGGTCATGTTATTTAATTTATTCTGCCTGCCTGTCTTTAAATCATGTATTTGTACATTTACATTTAATGTAATTATTTGATACAGTAGGGTTTAAGTCTGTTAAAACGAAGTCTGCCATTTTGTTTTTTGTTTCTTGTCTGTTCACTTACTTTGTGTTTATTTTCTCTTTTCTGCCTTTCTGTGGGCTAATCGAACATGTTTTTAGAATTTATTTTTTCTTTGTATGGCTTTTTTAGTCATTACTCTGAGTATTACATTACACGTATACTATAATAGACTACTGGTGTCATCATTGTACCAATTCAAGTGTAGAAACTTTTACTTTCCTTTACATTCCTTTATTTCCCTCATTTACATTATGATTGTTTTAAATATTTCCTATACATACAGTGAGAACCACATCAGTGTTGTAATTTTTGCTTTAACTGTCCAAAATAATTTAGAAAACTCCAGAGGAGAAAAAAAAGCCTAGTGAATTTGCCTGTATTTTTTACTTACTGTGCTTCTTCCTCCTTTGATAATCTAACAGTCTTCTTTTATGGCTTTTTTCCTGTTTAGAGGACTTCCTTAGGCCGTATCTTTAGGGTAGGTCTGCTAGTGACAAATACTCTTCTTTTTTCTTAACGGAGAATGTCTTGATTTCACCTTCATTACTAAAGGATATTTTTGCTGGTTATAGGATTCTGGGTTGACAGTTATTTTCTTTCAGCATTAGGAACACATTGTGATGCTTTTTTTTTCTGGTGTCTGGTTTCTGATGAAAAATCTCCCGTTATTCAAATTGTTTTTCTCTATGTGTAAGGTGTCATTTTTCTCTGGTTGCTTTCAAGATTTTTTGTGTCATTTTTTTTCGGAAGTTATCTATGATGTGCCTTGGCAACTATTTGTTTGCATTTGCTCGTTTGCATTTGCAAAACGTCCTACTTGGCCTTCCCTGACAACACCCTAGGAGGGGTGTCGCCTTGTTAGAGCCTCTCAAGGGTCAAAGTCTAGGTTCCCTGCTCAGCTTCTTTAATCTGTAGATTGAAACCACTTGACAAATTTAGGGAGTTTTTAGCCATTATTTGTTTGAATGCTTTTTTAGCCCCACCCCCTTTCTCTTCTTCTGGAATTCCAGTGACACAAATGTTACGTCTTTTAGTGTAATCCCACGGTTCCCTGAGACTCTGTTCATTTCTTTCTATTCTATTTTCTTTCTGTTGTGCTCAGTGAATAATTTCTTTTTTTTTTTTTTTTTTTTTTTTTTTTTTTTTGAGACAGAGTCTCGCTCTGTATCCCCTGTCTCTTATACACATCTAGATGTGTATAAGAGACAGATACAGAGTCTCGCTCTGTATCCCCAGGCTGAAGTGTAGTGGCGCAATCTCGGCTCACTGTAAGCTCCGCCTCCCGGGTTCACGCCATTCTCCTGCGTCAGCCCCCTTGAGTAGCTGGGACTATGAGCGCCCGCCACCACACCCGGCTAATTTTTTTGTATTTTTTTTCAGTGGAGACGGGGTTTCACCGTGTTAGCCAGGATGGTCTCGATCTCCTGACCTCGTGATCCACCCTCCTTATCCTCCCAAAGTGCTGGGATTACAGGCGTGAGCCACCGCGCCTGGCCGTCAGTGAATAATTTCTGTTGCTTGTCTCAGTTCACTGATACTTCCTCTGTCTCCTTCATTCTGCTGCAAGCCCATCCACTAAGCTTCTTATTTTAGTAATTTTGTTTTTTCCGTTCTGATAGCTCCATAGGACTCTTCTTTGTATCTTCCATTTCATCACTGAGGCTTTTTATTATTTCATTTGCTTCAGGTGTCTTCATGGTGGCTCATTAAAATATTTTTATCATGGCTGCTCTAAAATTGTTGTCAGATGAGCTTGGTATCTCTGTCATCTCACTATTGACACTTGTTTCATTCTACTTGATATCTTCTGGTTCTTGATGTAAGGGATATTTGATGGAAACCTAGACACTTTCATATTACGCTGCTGCAGTCCATGTCTAGTTTAAGCCATCTCTTTTATTTGGCTTTCTCTGACGGGGAACGGGCTGGGGGACTGCTGCCTCATACTGCCAGGAGGAGGGACAAGTCAAGAGCCTGCTCAGCCGCCAGTGGGTTTCTTCGTTGCTGCTGGGTGATGGTAATAGTCCTGACTGTCCACTCGCCCTCCTCTGACACTGTCCAGGAGGAGATGGGGAGGGTGCCCACTACTCCTAGGTGCAGGTGGAAGTTAGGGCTCTCCATGTGTTCTTTGCTGACCCCACAGTGGTGGTGGAGGGAGTCCACTTGTTGTTATCAACTGATAGGAATAAAAGGCTCAGCGTCCTACTTGGCCTTCCCTGACAACACCCTAGGAGGGGCGTTGCCTTGTTAGAGCCTCTCAAGGGTCAATGTCTAGGTTCCCTGCTCAGCCTTTGCTGACATGGATGGGGCTGGGTACCCCTCATTTGTTTCTGTGGCGTTTGGCTACAGTAGAATAGTTATTATCTAAAAGTTTTCTGGCTAGCTGGGCTGCCAGTATTACTTCTCAGGGCAAAATAATGGTAGAGTAATGTGTCAGTCAAATCACAGATGCCACTGATCACGAGGCACACCAGTATTTTATGTTTCTTACAAAGAGAAAAGTATGTGAATACGCTGATACGTCATCCATAGTAAGATGCATGCTGATTTCAGAGAGATTAATACATAGTGAGAGTGTGCTTCTTGGAACAGATTAAGTATGGTAGTTATGTGAAAAGGACTCATGGATGAAGCGCACATAATGATGTATAAATATTCAAACATGTTTTATTTATTTGCTATGCTCGTGTTAACAATCACTGATTGGTCAGCTTACAAAAACAAGCGTTCCTTTTTGAGAATGTTGACAAGACCCTTTAAACCCAATTTGGTGGATCTCTTATCCTTGCAGAGACAGAGCTGCCTGCTTTGCTATTCAGAAAGGATTACAGGCATCCCGTAGTGACATTAAGTTATTTAAGCATAATGACATGGCTGACCTCGAGCGACTACTAAAAGAACAAGAGATCGAAGATCAAAAGGTATGATTCTTTTGAAGAAAATTATACAGTTCTTTTGTACTTTCTAACCAGCTAAATTATATATGAAATGGTAATTTGTCATGAAAACTTGCCTGTGGATCACATTTGGATATTAAGAAGGGTGTTCCTGCTTATTAAATGTACTTCATATTGCAGAGCCAAGTCTGATTGTAATTGCCTTGTCATTGCCATAATTACATATAGCAAATTGAGGGGAGGTAATCCAAGCAGCTTTCTAAGAGATCAAGAGAGGCTGAAAAACAGCATGCGCTTAGTGAGGCGGGGAGATGTCTACTCATAGCTGTGCGTAATGACACCAAAACTTACTAGGCCTTTAATGACATATACCTAGTGAATTCAGAATAGGCTTATTCACACCAGAATAAATCATGTATCAATTACATGAGGAAAGAATGGCAGCAAGCTTATTTTATTAATATATGAACAAAGTGAAGCCCTTTCTCCCCACCCCACCTGTATCCTGCTCTGAGCAGCTGCTGCCCGTGGGAAATGACTGCCCCAACATGGTCTCCTTCCAGCTTGCAGCCCTGGTTTCAGCTCTTTCCTCTCAAGAACCTAACATAACCTCAGGTGATGGTGATTTGGAAGTAGCTCCTTGGTGTTCTGATTAGAGTGAAACAAAGGAAGTGTGTTCAGAGCATCGTTGTTAAAATTATAATTTATTTTCCCCTGATGACATGGGTAAGTAAAGTAGCTCAGGTCTGTGGCTCTGAGCAGGGCACCATGATGTGTGTCTTCATCTCAGACACAGTTTCAGGTGGACTTTGCCAGTGCAATTCATTCATAACTAGAACAAATTATAAAAATACTCATCACATTTCTTAATTTTATGTTAATTTTCAATTTTCCAAATATTTGCATTATTCATTTAGGATTCTGTCATCTTTGTTCAGATGTCAGCCTAAGTGCATCACTTCATGAATATACACATTCTCATGATGAATATGCATGGTCTTGCCATTTTATACTTAATCTGCTGTAGGCTAATGTTTCACATTTACAGAATTTAGAAAAACCTATAGGGAAAATCTGAAAACTGAGCCTATTCCACTGGTTAATTTCTTTCTACAAAGTATAAAAAGATGTTTCTTACGATTATGCAGTAATAGAATGCTAGTCTGTATTCAGTAATAGAATTGCAGTCTGCTGCCATTTGTTTTGCCAAGTTAGTATTATATAAATTTGGAAAACATCAGATTCAGGTTTTGTATGTGCTCTTTTTCTACAAGATCCGTAAGCCATAGAACTTTTTTTTTTAATGAGCAACAACAAGAAATAAAATTAAATATCTTGAAACTTATTTCTACTTTATAATTTTTACTTTTTTACTAATTTATATTTTTCTTGATGAGAGCAGGCTTTCTAAGTAACTTTACATTTTGGTTTTTAGAAATACTCATTTTCAATTTTATTTTCACATAAATAATCTGGTCATTAATACTTTGAATGTTTTCTTTGTCCATTTCCCAAGTGCTGTGGTTCATAAATTGTTTTTTATCCCTTTTCCTACAGGGTTCTTTTGTGCCATATTAATTCTTCTTAAAGAATGGTCAGTGGATATGAACAGTAGTTCATAAAAGGAATACACATAACTATGAACAAGTGAAAAATAGCCTAGACTCACTAATAATTAAGGAAATTAGGCTAGGAGTTTTGCCTTTTAAATTAGGGCATGTTTTTAATAGTAGTAGTCAGTGCCAACACAGATGTGTTGAGACAAAGAGTCTATGACTCTGGAAAGAGTTTAAATTAGCACTTCTTTTCTAGAAGGTAAATTGGCAGATACATTCCAGGATCCAAGTAATTCCATGCCGTTTGACCCATTTCTGTGGTGGTGTCTTTAAAAAATTATCGGAAATGATGTCACATATTGAGGGATATTCATATTGTGATATGAAAAAGCAAATGAGGGAAACAACTAAATCCAACATTAGGGAAATAGTTAAGTAGTTTATGGTATATCCATAGGCAGAACATCTCCATTAAAATCATGTAATCCGAAATAATTTAGAAATGCTCACAGTATAATGTTTTTAAAAGCAGGTCCTAAAACTACAGTAAAATCCTGATTCTGAACAAAGTAATTTATATGTTTATGCAAGAAAGACAAAAATTATCACCATGTGGTATGATTAGCGAATTTATTTGTTTTTTGTACTTTTCCATTTCCCAAAATTTGAATATTTTTAAATCTAAGAAAAATGTTTTTCCTTAAAGACAGGCAGAGGTAGCATGCCCTGTGTAGAAATTAGGGTGGCACCTCTTCATCAGTCACTTCTAACATATTGCTAGCTCCCCAGCTTTCAGTTGTGAGTTGACAGAGTAAAGATGATTGAGCAACATCAGTGATGTATACTTTTTTATTCCTCAACAAACATTTTTTTTTTTTAGTGCTACTGCTGTGGGTTGTAAAATACTCCTTTAAAGCATTGCTCTGATACTTTCTAATTCTGATCATTTCTAATTGTCCATTGGAGCAGAAGCTTAGAGGCAAGAAACCTCTGAGTAAGAAGGTAATGGCAAACTCTATCTGTGGATCTCAGGGTTTTTTGCAGTCCCGCACACCTGAACCATGTACAGTTTCATACATGTGAGAGATTTATTAGTGACTTGCTCTGAGCGGAGTGTGTGAAGGTGTGTGTTTTTTGAAAAGAAGACCTCGGCCGGGTGCAGTGGCTCACACCTGTAACCCCAGCAGTTTGAGAGGCCAATGTCAGTAGATCAAGAGGTCAGGAGTTCAAGACCAGCCTGGCCAACATGGTGAAACCCCATCTCTACTAAAAATACAAAAATTAGCTGGGCGTGGTGGCAGTTGCCTGTAATCCCAGCTACTCGGGAGGCTGAGGCAGAGAATTGCTTGAACCTGGGAGGCGGAGGTTACAGTGAGCCGAGATGGCGCCACCGCACTCCAGCCTGAGTGACAGAGCGAGACTCCGTCTCAAAAAAAAAAAAGAAAAGGAAACCTCTCTACCCCACAGCCAAGGAACATCATTGGACAAAGTCATAGTCAAATTTTACTTGATCCGATAATAGATCAGTGGGGAGTGAGGAAGGAACAGGGTTGCCCCTTGTTTTGGGAGGTGAAGGAAAACAGGGTTTGAGTTTTGTAACTTTTTGTTATGGAAAAATGCCAACATAGAAGAAGGAAACACAGTGGTATAGTGAAGCCCCCCATACCCTTCTCCCAGCTTTGTTATCAGCATTACATCATTCTTGTGCCATCTGTTCCTCACCCCATCTTCATGATGATGATCTTCATTATAGTTGTTCTGGGTAAAATTGACAGACATTGAATCATATGAATACAGCTATACAGTTTTGACCAGTGATTATACCCGTGTAACCCGGGAATGTCGGCTCCATTATGATGTAAAATATTCCCATTTCTTTACAGAGTTCCCTTAGGCCCCTTCCCAGTTGGAGGGTTGAAGGGTTTTGTTTGTGTTTTAATATTCTCAGAGTGCCTAATTAGTTTGTGTGTGTGTGAGGTCATCCAGCTAATGCTGTGAGCTGAGAAACGTGTCTGAGAGAAGATAGCACTGTTGTTCATCTCAAAATAACCCGTCACAAACACTGAGCTTTCAGTTCATTCGGAATATTTTTTTAGGAATAAATCTTGGAAGGTGAAAGTGCTGGGGAATATTTAACAGATCTTATCTTTAGAGTTACTGAAATGTAAGATGTCTGCTTTTTCTCTTTTAAAGAATCCTCGCAAGGCTCGTGTAACTCGGCGTTTCATTGTAGTAGAAGGATTGTATATGAATACTGGAACTATTTGTCCTCTTCCAGAATTGGTAAGCAACCATGTTCAGTCATAATTTTAATATTTGGACTATTTGACACAGGTGCCTTTTGTTTATGACCACTTTTAGTGTATAATGTCTGCGTTGCTTTGCACATTAGGCCTCATAAGTATAATTTGCTCAGATCAGGGAAAAAGAACAACATTGAATGCCAGTGCTGGCCTTCACAGAGCAATTAGGACTGCTCTGTTGCCCAGGCTGGAGTGCAGTGATGTGAACCCAGCTCATTGCAGCCTTACCCTCCTGGGCTCAAGTGATCCTTCCACCTTAGCTTTCTGAGTTAGCTGGGACTACAGGCACATGCCACCGCACCTGGCTCATTTTTCCCTTTTTTGTGGAGTCAGAGCCTCACTGTGTTACCTAGACTGGTCTCAAACTCTTGGACTCAAGCGATCCTCCCGCCTCAGCCTGCCAAAGTGCTGGTATTACAGGTATGAGCCACCATGCCTGGCCAAGACTTAGCTTTTTTTTTTGAGATGGAGTCTCGCTCTGTCGCCGGAT